CGCACACATGACAAAAGCTGAAGCCGAAAGCAGAACTTCAGCAAGTCCAAGGGCAAAACAATTGCACTTCTGAGGTATGATGCAGTTGGTGGGGCTGAGGTGGAAATGCTGACTCATCTATATTGACTTTATCCCAGGAACCTACCTGCGCTTCGGAAGAAAGGGCTGTATATTTTCTCTCTATCTTCCCCTTTTCACCCTAGAGGGGTTTGGTCAATTAAATGCAAATATTGATATGCCTTGACCTTTCTAAACTGCTGCTAATCTTATTGATTGCACTTTTCACTCTCTCAAGTGACTACAGTTCTAAGGCTACAGCGAATGTGATTATTATATTAGATGAACAGCTCCTTTCTTAGTTGTATTGGTATTTTTTCAAGAAATGGAGGCTGAATGAGTGTGCTTTGCATAATGGGTTGCCAAATGAAATATGACAATAATGATGGCTTTAAAATTAAAAATGCAACAAGTAAATTGGATTAAGGTTATCAATCAATACAGGAGAAAATTGGGGAGGGGGGGGGAAGTCCTCTGAATTGCACTACCAGAATAAGTAATCATTTATTTCAATGTCCTGCTCCCAGAATCTCAGATTTTCCCCTTTCCTTCTTGGATTTTAGATTTGTACTTCAGAAAAAACCAATCTACACACGTGAAGATCCCCAGAGACCATAAACAAACAAACAAAACAAAAAACAAAACAAAACAAAAAACAAAACAAAACAAAAAACAAAACAAAACAAAAAACAAAACAAACACGGGCTTATCATTAACAAATGCAGTCCTAACTGAGCATCGAACTACAGGTGATGTTTAACTTGAAATTGAGTGTCTCTCTTAAAAATGGGATTGGGCAGCCGTGGGGAGCATAGGTGTGGGATGAGGGAACTATCAAGATGGTGGCCATCAAGCCTGTCATCTCTGATGAAATTCACCCTCCTGACCTAAATAGCATCTGGTGGCGAATTTACTTTGGGACCATAATATGGGGGGAAAGGATCGGATTATGGTCCTAATCCTGATCGTCGCCACCCCTTAGATTTTTAAAAGATTCATGCAATCCCAGTTTATGCATTTAAAATCACACTTGGTTTGCCCCTTATTTATTATTGGTCAAGAGATGTAAACACTTTTCTAAACTCAAAATGTCCAAAAAATGGCAACACAGTCCATGTTTTTTCTGACCTCATGCATAACGTACCAGAAAAGGAACCCCAAAGTCTACCCTATTTACACTTCCATGCAGTAAAAACAAATTATCCACTGTGTAGACACCACAACATGAGCAAAAAGCAGTACCTTTTTCGTGGCACCCATTTGGAACAGCTGTCTCAAGGATTGGTTGCTCTGGGAGCAGAATAGGGGTCTCCTAATATCACTGAACTCCTGCCAACCTAGCAGTTTGAAAGTACGTCAAAGTGCAAGTAGATAAATAGGTACCGCTCCGGCGGGAAGGTAAACGGTGTTTCCGTGCGTTGCTCTGGTTTACCAGAAGTGGCTTAGTCATGTTGGCCACATGACCCGGAAGCTGTACGCTGGCTCCCTTGGCCAATAAAGCAAGATGAGTGTCGCAACCCCAGAGTCGGCCACGACTGGACCTAATGGTCAGGGGTCCCTTTACCTTTACCTTTTAATCACTGAACACCCTTAACAAACTGTAGCTCCCATAATTCTTTGGGGGAAGGCATGACTGATAGAACTTTAAATGCATTTCATTTCATTTCACTTTTAATTTGCATTCTGCCTTTCTGTATTACTAAACACAAGGCATTTACAAGCTGAAGAAACAACAAAATAGTCAGCAAAGGTAAAGGTAAAGGGACCCCTGACAGTTAAGTCCAGTTGTGAATGACTCTGGGGTTGCAGTGCTCATCTCGCTTTACAGGCCAAGGGAGCCGGCGTTTGTCCGCTCTGCAGGCAGTTTTTCCAGGTCATGTGGCCAGCATGGCTAAGCCGCTTCTGGTGCAACGGAAGAAGAAGAAGAAGAGTTTGGATTTGCTATCCTGCTTTATCACTACCCGAAGGAGTCTCAAAGTGGCTAACATTCTCCTTTCCCTTCCCTCCCCCACAACAAACACTCTGTGAGGTGAGTGGGGCTGAGAGACTTCAGAGAAGTACAACTAGCCCAAGGTCACCCAGCAGCTGCATGTGGAGGAGCGGAGATGCGAACCCGGTTCCCCAGATTACGAGTCTACCGTACGAGTCTACACCACACTGGCTCATTCACTGACACCAGAACAGCACATGGAAATGCCATTTACCTTCCTGCCAGAGCGGTACCTATTTATCTACTTGCACTGGTCTGCTTTCAAACTGCTAGGTGGGCAGGAGCTGGGACAGAGAAACAGGAGCTCACCCCATCGCGGGGATTCAAACTGCCGACCTTTTGATCGGCAAGCCCAAGGCTCAGTGGTTTAGGCCCCAGCGCCACCCGGATCACACACTTAATAATCTGATCCAATACAAAAAAGTCATAATAAATTTAAAATAAGCAACTTATATCAAATAAAGCATTATTTGACAATCCATTAAAATCTAATAGTAAACTGTAAAATTAAATATCAGAAAAATAGTAATTAAACAATGGAAACAATTAAACTTAACAATTACAACAAACAATTCCTAAACTATAATCAGTAAAAATTACGGCAAGTCACAATGCATAAAATACCACAAAACATCCAAACCTATGTAAAAGGATCAAACTGAGAAATAAGGACACACAATTATTATTTTTTAAATATCCCTGAACTGCATGTATGCTGTGAATGTTCAGTCTCAGATATGATTGGCTGTGGATCCCTACTGTCTATACGTACCCTAAACTTAACACAACACAATGTGTAGTTTCCTTATGCAGAAGTGATCACCATTTAGGAAAAAATGTATGTAAAGCAGCCCTCAGCCGCTGACACATTTTCATAGCTGCGAGGGGAGGCACGCTTGTTAATGCTGTCTAAGGTTATCGCGATCTTTTTCTGGGTGGCGTGTGCTATGAAGCTTTATAATTTAACCAGTAATCCAGCAGAGCTGAATGCAATAAGCACAGTGGTGTGCTTAAGTATTATGAATGTGTCAGGATGATGAATTCACTGTAACAATATCACACCAGCGGTAGGGTGTGCAGTTGACTATATCTCAATCCATCACTTTCAACGTAATCTTGGAGCCCCAGATGGGCAACTTCAGGGTGGGGTGAGGGGGGTTGATGGGGAGGGCGAAGGAGGGAGCAGGCAGATAATTGCGGTTAATACTTGCTTGATTTAATTGTGATTGCCTCAAGGGCAAATAACCAAAGGGTTCGGGAAGCAAAGTTCTTAGTAATAGAGTTAACCTACAGGTTAAGGATTGCCTGCAAGACACACTAAGGGAGCTGGATGAGGAACAGCGTGAACAGATCCCATTAAGAGAGGTGTTAGGAACATCTTAATATGACAGCAGCTGTGTTTTTTTAAAACCTGCAGAAATCCCAGCATTGCAGGGGAGAGGGAGTTTGAGAACCTAGCGGGGCAGGAAGAAGTGTGCTAACCTGACCCATCGCAAAATAAATCCAAAAGTGTACATGCTGTTACATGCTTGCACCCTAGTTGCCTGAGCAGGGTGTACCCAGGTCCTGCTTTCTTTGGAATGAGGTCCCTGGAGATTTATTGGCATTTTATGATGTGTGGGTGTTTTCTTTCCTTCCACATATATCTGGGATGAGCATAGGTGAATGTTCATAGCTTGAAACATGCCAACAGAGGTCTCAATAGTTTGCTGCTCCACATAGATGCTTTAGCTGAGATTCCTACATTTTGCACTAGATGACCCTGATCTTTTCCTGTGGAACGCCCTCCCACCAGATGTCAAAGAGAAAAACAACTACCAGACTTTCAGAAGACATCTGAAGGCATCCCTGTTTAGGGGAGCTTTTAATGCTTAATAGATTATTGTATTTTAATATTCTGTTGGAAGCTGTCCAGAGTGACAGGGGAAACCCAGCCAGATGGGTGGGGTATAAATAATAAATTATTATTATTATTATTATTATTATTATTAAGGTAAAGGTAAAGGGACCCCAGACCATTAGGTCCAGTCGTGACCGACTCTGGGGTTGCGGCGCTCATCTCGCTTTATTGGCCGAGGGAGCTGGCATACAGCTTCCAGGTCATGTGGCCAGCATGACTAAGCCACTTCTGGCAAACCAGAGCAGCGCATGGAACCGCCGTTTACCTTCCCACCAGAGCGGTACCTATTTATCTACTTGCACTTTTACGTGCTTTCAAACTGCTAGGTTGGCAGGAGCTGGGACCGAGCAACGGGAGCTCACCCAGTTGCGGGGATTTGAACCGCCGACCTTCTGATCGGCAAGTCCTAGGCTGTGGTTTAACCCACAGCGCCACCCGCATCCCATTATTATTATTATTATTATTATTATTTATTATTATTATTATTATTCCTGTGTCTTACACACACACACACACACACACACACACACACACACACACAAACAAACATGGACATATGATGGTGCACTAATGGATAATTTGAAAGTCAGGAATGTGGAACAGAACTGCAGCTCTCTTTACAACATCCAAACCAGCAGGGGTGGAGGAAGGGGTGTGTGGTGGGGGCAGACTGCCCCGGGTATCTTCACTGAGGAGGGTGACATTTGGCAATTGTAGGCAGGTGGCGTGCCAAATGTCCGCCATCGGCGGCTTGCTCCACCCCTGGCTGGAGGGCACGCACGCCTCTCCATGCACCCGAGCAGATATCGCGTGCCTGGGAGGGCATCTTCCGCCCCCTGCCCCCTCGGGAGCACCCCCACCCCCCTTGGGAGCACACCCCCCCGGGCAGTGCAGGCATATGCTCTGCCACTGCACTGCACAGCAGCAGATTAGATTAGGTTGTCACAGGTGAGTCTCTTGGGCAGCTTCATGTTTATTTCACACCATAAAGGGACCCCTGACCATTAGGTCCAGTCGTGGCCGACTCTGGGGTTGCTTTATTGGCCAAGGGAGCCGGCGTACAGCTTCAGGGTCATGTGGCCAGCATGACTAAGCCGCTTCTGGCGAACCAGAGCAGCGCACGGAAACGCCATTTACCTTCCCGCCGGAGCGGTACCTATTTATCTACTTGCACTTTGACCTGCTTTCGAACTGCTAGGTTGGCAGGAGCAGGGACTGAGCAACGGGAGCTCACCCCGTCGTGGGGATTCGAACCGCCGACCTTCTGATCGGCAAGTCCTAGGCTCTGTGGTTTAACCCACAGCGCCACCCGCGTCCCAATTTCACACCATATTCGTCTTTTTATTTTATTTAAAGTACCTTAGTCTAAAGGATGGCTAATTATTTAATTGCACAAACAGTAACCATTGTAATGAAAAAGTTGTTTTTTCAAGCAGGCAGGAAGAGGAAAATCAATGTGATGGCTGAGGCTAATTAGAGCTTCCTGAGCAACTGGGCTTTCCCAGTTTCACATATCAGCCGATTCAGGTCTCATAATTATTGTGGGCGGGGAGGTTTTGCACACCAACCCCGCTTCCCCTTGAGACTTTTTGTGATAAGGAAAGGGATGGGAAAATGCACCGGAATGTGGGGGGAAAGTATTCATTTAATGCAACATCATTTGTTGTTGTTTAGTCGTTTAGTCGTGTCCGACTCTTCGTGACCCCATGGACCAGAGCACGCCAGGCACTCCTGTCTTCCACTGCCTCCCACAGCTTGGTCAAACTCATGTTAGTAGCTTTGAGAACACTGTCCAACCATCTCGTCCTCTGTCGTCCCCTTCTCCTTGTGCCCTCCATCTTTCCCAACATCAGGGTCTTTTCCAGGGAGTCTTCTCTTCTCATGAGGTGGCCAAAGTATTGGAGCCTCATCTTCAGGATCTGTCCTTCCAGTGAGCACTCAGGGCTGATTTCCTTCAGAATGGATAGGTTTGGTCTTCTTGCAGTCCATGGGACTCTCAAGAGTCTCATCCAGCACCATAATTCAAAAGCATTAATTCTTCGGCGATCAGCCTTCTTTACGGTCCAGCTCTCACTTCCATACATCACTACTGGGAAAACCATAGCTTTAACTATACCTTTGTTGGCAAGGTGATGTCTCTGCTAGCCTCTGCTTAAAGGGGATTCCAAAAGTAGATGTTACTACCCCCAGGGGGTGGGATTACTTGGGGTCAGTGCTAAGACGCCAGTGGGTGGCAGGCGGGTGCTGGAGGTGTAAATGACTATCAGACTTTGAAAAGCTGGTATCATTGGATCAAGTTCATCAATTTTATTGAATTAATTAAACTAATTGGTTTTAATTGGATTTCGAACCAATGTGCAATGAATTATGCATCTTATTGTGTTATTACCTTCCTTAGTGGGGTGTGCAAACCTCTATTCTGAATAATGCTTTTTATGGGGTAAAATGCTTTTATAGGATATAAGCTTCCTGAAACTAAGGAGGCGGTGATCCAGAAAAGTTTGGGAGCCACTGCCTTAAACAGATCTGGATGAAAGCTCACGAAAACATGTTGCCTTGAAGCACCCACCGCCCACACGTATTTAACTTGCCCACATGCTAGTTCTTGGAAGAGGGCTTTTATAAATTGCAAGATGCAATGCAGTTCTGTGCTCAGATCCAGTGTTGACTAGAGGGTATGTTGCAATGGGATCTCAGGGCAAGGGAATTTCCAGAAATGAAGGATATCAGGCGCCCTCTGTTATCTCTTCAAGAAGATTCAAATGTGCAGGAATCCTTACGAAAAATAAACACAAGCCAGCCTGCTTTGTTCCTTGAAGAGGTCCCTTGGTGTTTAGCAATGTTCCTTTCTGAAGTAAAACCACGAACCCCCATTCGTGATAAATTAGCAATTGCTCGTTGTCTGCTTTAGCAGGGGAGGGGAATCTCATGCTGCAAATCACCCGTTTTATTACACTGGTGGAGTTGAGAGCTGTCAACATCATTTAAAGGGGGCAGGGCGGAAATCCATAGCAATACAATATCACTTTAATGATTTAAGAAAGTAAACGAGGTGTCGGAAACAGTTTCCCCACAGAGCTTCTGCCATGTGCCTTGATAGGGAAGGGAGCTCCGTGGCGGGGATTGAAATACCTTGCCTTGCACATACATGTTTTTTAAAAATATTTTATTTTATTTTATTCGAGTTTGGGATTTTTACATACGTATATTTTCTCCTTCCAATTTTTAAATTTCCCATACAATTTTCCCCTCCCCCCCAGTTGAGGCCAGCCTAACCTCCCTGTGGCCTTGGATCTCCAAGATGTTTTTATTTGAAGACCGTAAGGTCCTCTGTGGGACTGTCAGGTGTGCATGCAGGAGCCAGGCCCTGTGACCAATAGGACTTTGCAGGACTGGGGCCTTCCTAAGTTTGTTCTGAAGAGGCGAGGCACAGCCTCACAGGTGAGGCCGATTGGTAACTCACAGCACCTGGTGGCAAGAGCCAGGAAGGGATATAAGGTCAGCATTTGCCTTCGGCTCTTTGCCACAGCAACACATTCCTTGCCTTGTTTCTTGATCCTCGGACCCCTGACTTCGTGACTCCTTGCATCTTGATTCTCGGACCCCTGACTTCGTGACTCCTTGCTTCCTGACCCTCGGACCCTTGGCTTCTTGACTTCCAGCTCTCTGACCCTCGGACTCCTGACTTCCTGACTCCTGGCTTCTGGACCCTCGTTCCTGCCCCCACCCTGCCATCTTGCCCCCGGTTCTGACGTCCCCTGCCGGAACTTTGATCGCCCGTGAACCAGACCGTGACAGGGACATACCACGTTGTGTGAGTGAGTGGACAGCAGCTGATGTCATTCTTCTCCCTGCCTTGCACCCGTAAACTCATTCCAGATAGTCAAGGAAGGGCCAGAACAGTGGGGGGCTGTGTCAAAGAAGGCCGCAGCATTGGAATGGGAGTGGGGTGGGTGGGTGGGTGGATGTAGAACTGACCAAAACCAGGTGTCAGTGCTTTTTTTCAGGGGAGACACAGGGGTACGCATACCCATAAACATTTTGTGAATCTTCGTACTTTTGTCCATTTACTGTATTTCCCCCAATTTGAACTATAAAATGGTGATTTTTTTTGAGTCAATATAAGAGTACAGTGGTACCTCGGGTTACAGACGCTTCAGGTTACAGACTCAGCTAACCCAGAAATATTACCTCAGGTTAAGAACTTTGCTTCAGGATGAGAACAGAAATCGTGCTCCGGCGGCGCGGCAGCAGCGGGAGGCCCCATTAGCTAAAGTGGTGTTTCAGGTTAAGAACAGCTTCAGGTTAAGAACAGACCTCCGGAACGAATTCATTTCTTAACCCGAGGTACCACTGTACCCCTAATATATATATATATATATATATATATATATATATATATATATATGTGTGTGTGTGTGTGTGTGTGTGTGTATAGAGAGAGAGAGAGAGAGAGAGAGAGAGAGAGAGAGAGAGAGAGAGGAAAAAAGCACTGCCGGGTATAGTGATTTTGCATCAGTTGATGTTGGCATCCATCCGTCTCAAGAGACAACAGAGTCCGCCTCTGGGGGTGAAGTCGGACCACTGGAGAATCACAGCGCCTTCTGTGGCTGCAGAGACCGGTAACTCAGTATGTATTTGCGTTTTTATGCTTTAAACCCACCCTGTGATCCTTGGATGAATTGGTGGCATAGAAATTTAATAAATATCGTAAACAACCAGAGCTGTAGGTGCTTCAGTGGGGTGAGCCAATCCAAGTTCTCCCCCCCCCTTTGAATGGTGCCCCTGATGTACGTACAGTTCAGCCATCTTGTCCTTTTTGAGGGTCTGGGCGCTTCCAGGCTACTGTTGTTTCTGAGCAGGATTCAACTACAAATGCAGGTTAGGCCATTCAATTTGGGGAAACCTGCCACGACGAAAAAATGCACCCGAAAGTTTGGGGAAACAATTGCTTAATGCAATGTTGTATAACAGTCCTGCAAAATAATAATAATAATAATAATAATAATAATAATAATGGCAGCACAATGACCAGACTTTGTGCAAACAAATCAAGATTTGTGCTTAATAAGCAGGTCACTTGGCAGTGACTTCAGACTCTTTCAAAGGGCTCCTTTTGCAACTAGCGCCTTCTCTTCAATAGCATGTGGCAGTGATGCAAATTTGAAAGGCATTTGATGCACTCCTCTGCTCTTGGCATCTCCTCCCCCCTCTGCAACCCCCCCCCCCGATGTGGGCTGCCTGATGATTAGAACAAGCCAGCTTGCTTATGCATTCCCAGCGCATTTCAGATACAATACGTACTACTGAATCTGGTTATGGAGACTTTGTCTACAAGCTTTGGAATCTATTTAACACTATTTCTCTATTCCCTTCAGACCAGACGATAAATCTGCCGCATCCCTTTTCTAATGAATATTCCTAGGAGGCGAAGGGGCTTGTTTTCCATCCTGCTGAATCTATGCAGTCCTTTCTCCTCCCCTTCTCCTCTACCCCTGACCAAAATAGACAAGTTTTGCTCTTACGACAGTCATAAATAGTCACAGCAAGGCTAAAGCGCAGGATTGGAAATATCGCCTCTAACATATATGGCACAGAATCGTGAGAAACAGAAATGTTGGGTTAAATAGAACGATGCTTCTAGCCCTTATGTTTGTTTGCAAAAAGGTGCTGCTTTTTGTTGAGATGCAAGCTGAGATTACTAGAGTAATAACAGAAGTGGGATTGTCATCTGTTAGGGATTCTTTAAGCTGTGATGCCTTCATTGCAGAGGGTTAGACTAAATGGCCTTTCAACTCTACAATTATTTGGTTTCAACCTGATCCAACCTGCTGGTGATTAATTTGGTACATGCTTAAGTAGCGTCAGGGAAGAGTAGCCAAACTGTTCATTTTGACTTTGACGACGCCACTGTCAGACGTTGGGCAGGAGGGCGGAGGGTTGGGGTGGAGAGCCGCCCGCAGCAGAAGAGCCCACCGCGGCGCTCCAACCGACGGGCGGGCTCTTTCCTGGACTCAACTCTTGGCCTTGCGCCCCTGAGAGCACGATGCCCAGGCGCCCCGCACCCCTAGCGCCTATGGGTAAGACGGCCCTGATTGGTCGACTCCAAAGCCAAAATGGGGCCTGCCAGTTTGCCTAGCAGACCAGCGCGACTCATGGCATTTCTGACGGATTTGACTGTGGGCGCTCACAGCAAGCAGAATGCAATATCATAAAACGCAAGTGAGGGAAAGTTGCTGCAAAGGCAATCACTCTTTGAGCATTAAGCATTCTTTAGAATTGCATTTCAAGGCTTGCGTTTTCCTTACGTGATCACAG